CTTTTTTGATGGGTTGCATAAAAAATTTACGGTTTTCTACGACGAAAATACCACTTCATCATGCTACGGACATGTCAAATGTGGTGCACTCAGTCATGATTGAAGAAAAATTATAACAGCAAAAGTCACACGTTCAGTTAATTCTATAGTAGAAATTATACCAAAATATCTATGACTGGGTGACCAAATAAGCAAAACATAACTGTGGTTACTGACTACGATACACTCAGATGAATCAACGACGTGGAGTTTATTCCCAGCCTTAAATAGCATTTTTTAAGAATCAAATTTGATGTTAATTTGTGATGAAAACACCTTACTCGAATCCCTTACCCTAACTTCCAACTGTAAATCCTAATCTTAATTCCTCATACTAGTTTGCCACCCTCTTTTGACCAAAAACATCAGGTGTCTCAAGGTCAGTTTAGCGTCACTAAAGGTCTCACCTCAGATACTGTGAAGCTTGCATCCTTAAAGCTCTGAATGTTACAATGATTCTCTGATTTGAGTGGTTGAAAACTGGTTACTGAATCTTTCAACGTTGAACATTTAATGTTCCTATTCATTGTGGTATTACATATATATCGTTTCCGTTACAAAAGGTCTAATCAATACTCAATTTGTATGAAGTTATTCAGTTAATTTTTAACTATTACCTTATTTGTGCGATTTTTTAATAAGTGAGTGAAGTAAGGGCGTAAAAACATAATTTTACGAAATGGACCGTACAACAATTTTAGTTCATTTAAAATACTCCCCATTAATAACAACACATCGGTTCCATTCTCATTTCCACTGTACAAGTGCTCATAAGTTAAACTTTTCATCTACCTTATCGTCAATGGTTTCTCTAAGTATTTTTACAAGAATCTTGCGTAAAAATGATTACCTCGAAGTTCATTTCATTAACAACAATCTGAACAGTGAACTAACAAACACAAAACACAATATACTGCATATGTTCGACGCTTACATTAACACCGAAAGCGAAAATTGTCTTGTCTTTCTATCATCCATACAATCTTCACCGTTCTACCTAAAACTCTTGTAGACAGCTGTTTTTAATTCATACCATCAACTCAAGACTTCTAGAGTTTCATAAAAGATTTACCCTAATCTCACCGGAAATTTTAGTAGATCAGTTCATATAGTGATGAACAAACTATAGCCAACTATAATTCACTTGATATTGTTTTTACTTGAATCTTCCCATTGATGTTTTAGGACTGAAATTGATCAGTCTCTTATTGGAATATGTGCATACTGTGCGTATTGCCTCGATATTGCCTTAATTTACAAGCATTATAAGCAAAGATGGATAACGCGATGGCGTTTGGAGCGAACGGTACTGAGTTCGAGTCCCAGAGTGAACATCAACTCTGAGATGCAGGTACATCCAGCTGACAAGTCCCAAACAGGACGAAACGCGCGTCCTGGATTCCACTGCTGGCCAATATCCATCTTTGCTTATTTAGCCAACTATGTTTGTAATTTCTAGTCATCTGTTTTTTTTAATGTGTAAAGATCTTAATTATTATATTTCAATCTCTTAAAAATCATCATTATATTAAAACACAATTCATATGAATGAAGAATAGTCTTTTCAATGAATTTCTCATTCAGTTCGTCAATTCATAAATCCAAATGAATAATTCATAAAACTGACCAGATTTAAGGTATAGTATATCATTTAAAATTGTAATAGATGAATCCAGGATTGTTGTTTGTCATATTAAATTGTTAATGGTGGGTCTTACTAATATGCAGTATCAGAAGGGGTTTTTTGGAGATTGTAGTAATTTCAAATAGTTGAGATGATGGAGCTAGACCACCATGGAAAACCTGAAAGCACTGGACGGCCGTTTTGTCCTATTGTGAGACTTGAATCAGTTTATAAGTGTAATGAAATTGTGAGATAAATGATCGGAATAAATATGCTCAACATGGGGTGGGAGAAAGTGAGAGAATAATGGAATCAAAATAAAATATGTAGAATAATATGAATTAGGTCAGATATAGTAGATAGGGATGGATGCTGAATAAATTTCTCAAAAAGGTTGTTAAGCCTAATAATAATAATGATAAAAATAATAATAGTAAAGAGAATAATAATAACAATAAGTTTGGGACATAAAAATGAACATTAGTCAAAATACGTCATCATATTACAATATTGATTATTAACTAGTTGGGCCCGAAGTTGGCCAGGGTAAAAGGAGCTGCTGAATATATTTCTTTTTGGATGCAAAGCTCTGGCTTTTGGATCCGAATAGCAATTACTTCAGCCGTTTGTAGGATTCCCAGTTTGACAGAATTAGGTAGACTTATATTAACATGATATATTACTTTGAAAGATTGCTTCATGTTGGCTGTATGTCCTATTTGAACTAGATGGTCTAAAATGAAGCTGTTAACCGTTTTGACTACACCTTTACATAACCACATTGGGAGGTGCTCACGAGCTTGAATATACAAATTCCTAGAACATCTGCCAGTATAACTTGCTCCACAGGAGCAGTACCTATCAATTCAACTGCATCTGTGGAGCACGGTATATTGGCAGATGTTCTATATTAGTCAGCCCCAACATTAACGATTTGATTTGATTTTGTATGACAAACAAGAATCCTGGATTCATCTATTACAATTTTAAATGATATAATCTACCTTAAATCTGGTCAATTCTATGAATTATTCATTTGGATTTATGAATTGACGAACTGAATGAGAAATTCATTGAAAAGACTATTCTTCGTTCATATGAATTGTGTTTTATTATTATTTCAAACTATAAGGTAATCTATGTTAATGATTTAAGGATATTGAGGATTTCTGTGTTTTATTCATCTTCCTATATTTCTTTTCAGACTGTTTTGTTTTTCCATACACATAGTTCCCATAATCGTTTTGAAAGGAGCAAGAACAAAGATTCTAGCAGAATAGCATGAATTCATTTTTATTTCGTTAGTTCTCATCAGCTGCTTACAACCTGTGATATTCAAAAAAATCATAATTACATAATGGGTTTAAATTACTAACATGAGAGGGTTTAGTTGGAAGTTATATTGAAGACGCATTAGTATTGTGTAGCGAGGGTGCAAATAAATTCAATAGACTGAATATTGTAAATATATACCTTATGTAAAAGAACATGCTACAACACTGATTGAGACAACAATTCAAAGGGCCAGAAACAAGAGATGACATAATGAGTGAACGCTGATAGAAATAAAATGAGTAGAGCTCAGTTGATAAAACAAGATTATTAATTTGGAAGGATAGTTGAAATAAAACTCAATGATGTAATAAATGCAAGAAAGAATTTAAAGAAAAAGAAAAAAGAATATATTAAGATACAGCAAAGGAATATTAGTCACCAAGACAAGGAAAGATTTATAACCATCTCCTTTTGAACACATAAATCAGGTTTTTGACGCCTGATAGCAACGGCTTCAGCAAACTTCAGAAGACTGGAGTTTGGCTGTTTACTAATCACCTTGAATGACTGTACGGTATCGACCTGATGTCCTGTATCAAGGAGATGTTTGATGATCGCACTATTTAGAGTCTTTCTTTCTCTTGTTCTAAGGTTTTTTGGAACATGTTTTTCACTGAACCAACCTATTTTAAAATAATATCTATGATAAATCAATATCATAGCCGCTAGTTATAATTATGTAATATATTGTAATCTATTAGCTTAACTAATACATTTTCTAAATTCTATAATAATGATTGATAATTGACGCAAATTCAATGAAACAAATCAATATTTCAAAAGGAGCTTTGTGAAGATTGTAGTAATTTCAACAGTTCAGATGATGAGTCAATTGAAGCTAGACCACCATGGAAAACCTGGAAGCACTGGACGGCCGTCTCGTCCTATTGTGGGACTCCTCGGCAGTGCGCATCCGCGGGCCAGTTGTGAGGTAGTAACTGACTGATGACAATGGTGGATATGTCGCTCAATTTCGTGGATTAGTTGAAAATAGATATTAACACCGTTGGTTGCCAAATCATTATTTCATCTTGTTAAAAGAAACACCTTCTTTTCAGAAAAACCATTATTGATTTTTCTCTCTCCAGGTTTTTTTTCAACTGACTTTTTCTTTTCTTTCTTGTATGCCTTCTAAATGTTTATCTTCTTATACAAAATAGAATTATTCAGATTGAATTGAATGTTTTACTGTATAAAACTTTATGATGTTTTGCCTGTTTGACTACCTGTTAACGTAAAAGGTATATAAAAAACGTTTTTTTTCAATGTAAGATATATTGATTCTAGAAACCTTATTTAAACTATTCAGTCGAATTGCTTATTGTAACTATCTATACTATCTGTTGTAATGATAGAATAGATTAGGTTAATCATTTTCATTAATTATTACAGTTTCCTGTTGGTCAGAAAAAAATAATGGTGAGTATCATATTCGTTGAACATGTTGGGAGCTATTAAAACTTCGTACGTTAATGTATATGTTGCTATAATATAAGGCTATATTGTACAGAATTCGAGATTTAGTGTGTACATTAACAGTAGAATGTTGTGAATCTGTGACAAGTACCAAATATAATGGAATGAGCATCTTGGATTTTAGTGGTAACTAGATGCATTGTCAAAACCTAATGACGCATAACGGGTACATGAAAGAAATATAACATCTCTATACGTTTTCTGACCTGTGCTGTATGACAGGTTAGAAAAACTAACTGTGAAATAGTACAGGAAGTTTGTAACGCAGTAATCAAAGCAATTCTTAGGAAACTATTCACTATATATTGTTACCATTATGAACCGAATCTTCTTTTGCTTGGTAATGTTTTACTTGAATCTTACCACTGATGTTTAAGACTGCAATTGATCAGTCTCTTATTGGCATATGTGCATACTGTACATATTGCCTTAATTTACAAGCATTATAGACAAAGACAGATAGTGGCTAGCAGTGGAATCCAGGACGCGCATTTCGTCCTGTTTGGGGCTCGTCAGCTGGATGGACGAAACGCGCGTCCTGGATTCCACTGCTAGCCACTATCCATCTTTGCTCATCTTCTTTCGTTCACAAAACTGACCTGCCTCGGCTTTTATGCCCATTTTAACGGTTTCTAAAATCCACTTCTTTGATGGAAATTTTAAAAGATTAAACATTAAGGTTATCAAGTCCTTAGTTTTAGAATCCCTTGAAGATAGAAGATCTTTAAGATTTTGCCACTAAATATTTTTAAAATGAGTGATATAATTCCAGCCATGTAAAATATATCATACGTATATTTACAGAAACATAAAATGTGTTATAGTTGAGATGACGTATTGGACATGATTAGAACTACAGTAGTCGGTGTGAAGAAGTAAAAAATCCTCCTGAATAATTAAAAAGGCATGCATGATCAATGCTAACCTCGATTGTCAAAATAAGCCTAACGAAATGAATGCGAATGGCCAAGCGCTCACTCCATATCCTCGTTTTTGATTGTTCACGTCAGATTTCTTATCTATGTACATGATTTTCAGTGTGAATGCTTCATATTTGTCTACTTCTAAACTTGGCCAGATAAACCATTTTTACCTACTACCATTAATTGCTTTGTTAGTATGTTTGAGATTAACTCAATATCGCCACATTCATACAATCTAATTGGAGTCAGATCCATAGGCCACTAAAGTGGAGAGCCCTTTCGACAACATCGTTCGATCTAAACAACGACAAAATAACGGGCCCCACTAAAACGTTAACTAAAAGCTAGTTTGAATCAAACACTATGAATATTTTTTATTACAGAAAGCCAAACATCATAAATGAAAACTGACATTAGTAATATCTGAAAAGAAAAAAACAATGTTCACTCAGCAATGTATTGCTTATTACATTGGTTAAACATTTCCAAACAATTGCCAACATGAGGCTAGTTGATTAGAGGTCATTAGCTCTATATATATACATATACTAGTTTTCTCATCTGTACAAATACTTGGCAAGTATAACATTACTCAATGAAAAAAGAACACCTTTCCCATATTTAGTTGAAGTTATCTATCATCTATGTTTGCTCATTGTACATTCGCTACATTTTAATAACCGATTTGTAGTTCGTTTCTAATCCTGCACAAAATATTTCTGTAAACCACGATATCATGTATATACTCCTGGACTTTCAAATACTGAATACAGTTGATTCTGAATTGTAAGGAGATTGATTATGAATACAGTGATCTTGAGTGTTGTTAGAGGTATGACGGCGGTTATCACTGCCTTGTCGCCAATGGTATGCAAGGATTCCTTCAGAAATACCTGAAAATTAAATTGGGTTAGAGGTGATCTTAATGATCTGATAACGTGGCTGCAGTGTGCAACAGACAAATGCTTGAGGCCAGTCACACAATACCTTTTTGTGAGTAGTTTTCATGTTCGCCCCTTATTTGTTGGAACCTTACTGCCGGAGATGGAAATCTGTGGGATAAGGTGAGGTGTGCACTTTTAGGGTCGAGCTTTTTATCCCCACGCCTCCTTGTGGGAAGGCAGCATCGCCGTTATGCTGGTTTTCTGAAAGAAACACCTTAATGTCATCACATCTCTGTACAGTCAGCAGTACGACTTCGGACCTTGAGTTTGCTGTTTTTAGTTTTACCGCTCTTCAACCGACCTGTTTGTCATGGTAGTCCCTTGAGTAACGATTGTTCCAGCCGGTAAAGCTCGATTTGTTCATTACGAAACGCAAGCCCAACAACCACATCAAGGCAGCAGCAACAGTTGGGAACTGAAATAAATGGATTTATTTTATTTCGTTATTATTGGTATTTTTAATACAGCCAAATTGATGGAAAGAAACTAAGCAGTTGTATATTGAATAATTGGTCTGTTAATGATGATTGTCTAACTTGTATTTGCATCTTCCTCATAAATACTTTTTTCAACTTTGTATGACAAATGGAACTATTCAAATTATTGTATTGACTAGGATTCCCGAAACAGTACACTCTAGGTCAAATAGAACTAGGTGAACACAAACGAACGTATTGTATTTAGAATTCGAGATCAAGCTGGCCATCAAGTACAAATGAATCATTAGTTCATACAAACATCACACTTTGACAAAAATTATTCGGGGTTCCAAACATTTAAAAATAATTTCATGGTTCAAGATTTATTTTATTTTAATCAAAACAAAACTTGAAATCAAAAAATAGATTTTAAACCAAGCAAGCATGACAACTGAAAAATACAATCAATTGCATTGTAATTGATTGCTTTCTTCTTCTCAGCTATATTCAAATGAATAAATTTGGATTCTCAGAAAGGGATTTTGTGGAGATTGTATTAATTTAATAGTTGAATTCATCGATCGATTAAGGCTAGACCACATTGGAAAATCTGAAAGCACTAGACAGCCGTTTCATCCTAGTGTAAGACTCTTCATCAGTGCACGTTCACGATCCCGCTCTCGGAATTCAAGCCAAGGATCTTTGATCCTGAATGCCGGCTCAGTGGCTAAGAGGTTAAGCGTTCGCGCACGAGACCGAGGTTCGAATCTCGCAAGGCAGGATCGTGTATGCGCACTGTTGAAGAGTTCCACACTAGAACGAAACGTCCATCTAGTGCTTTTAGGTTTTCCATGATGGTCTAGCTTCAATTGACTCATGATCTCAACTATTGAAATAGTATGCAGTTACATAAACTAAATAACACTTATTGTTATAAGTAAAGAAAGATTTCTATTACACTATTGTAGATATACTGATCTAAATTTCATTAATACTGAACAACAGTTTTTTTCACAACTCGTTATCTCTTAATGATCATATTGGTTCCACTGAAAACTCATAGAGATTACTAGATATAAGTAAACCTCACTCACGTTATAGTGTATCAATAGACTTTATTCAATACTGAAAACATCGCTTCTCATAACTTATCACTGTTATGTCAAAAACAAAAACAGGTTAGAACTAAACGTTTTGGATTAAAATTCAAATGGACTTCGATTCACTACTAAATATTGACACTTGAAATAATAATACATATTCAATATCATTTTACTGATTATAAATTGTAGCTAGACCATCATAGAAAACCTTGAAACACTGTACGGCTGTTTTGTCCCGTTGTGGGACTCTTCAACAGTGCACACCCCTAATCCCTCCTTGCGAAATTCAAACTATAAAAATCACTATAATATCCACAAAGCCCCTATTGATTATAAACGATTGAATTAAGCTTAAAAAATTTGTTTTATTTAACTTCGAAACCCAAATATATACATATATGTATGTCCAGTATTTATATAACTCATGTATTACCATTTTATCTGTCTTGTATCTCAGTGTGACTAGATATTCAATGGAATAATACTGTAAATTTAATTGTATGGAATAAGTTTAATTTGATTGAAATCAGGATAAACAAATTTTAGAAAGTTGTTTATCTTACCAATATGATTTGTTCAAATAAATAGGTTTATAGATCAAATTGTTATGTGACAAAATTTAGAAAAACCAAAACCAAATCACTGACTAGATAAGTGTCCTGTGTTTATTGATTTATCTTAATTATTTTCTCGTTATCAGTATAACACCGTTGGATGCCGTCTCAGTGGTTCTAGAGGTTAGGCGATCGCTCGCGAAACTGAAGGCCCTCGGTTCGAGTCCTGTGAGCGGGATCGTGGATGAGCACTGCTGAGGAGTCCTACAGTAGGACGAAACGAGCATCCAGTGCTTCCAGGTTTTCAATGGTGGTCTAACATCGATCGGTTCATGATCTTAATCAATATTTTCTAATTATCAATGAAGTAGCAATAGATGAACGGAACACAATAAAGAAAATGGACCAAACACTAAAGTTATAGAAGGAAAAAAAACTACAACCAGGTCCGTTGTGAGATATCATCTCAATGAAGACAATGGTATATGGTGGCGCAAATTCGTGGATTGGTTGAAGTTAGACATTAAGACCATTGGATGCCGGCTCAGTGGTCTAGTTGGTTAAGCGCCTGGCGCGAGACCAATAGGTCCTGGGTTCGAACCTCGCGGAGTGCGGGTCGTGGATGGGCACTGCTGAGGAGTCCCATACTAGGACGAAACGGCCGTCCAGTGCTTCCGGGATCTCCATGGTGGTCTAGCTTCAATTGACTCATGATTTCAATCTGTGAAACATAGAATAACAAGATATAATTAAATCCCTTCTAAATCATAAGAATATGAGATCGAAAATCAAGGACAATCGAATAGCCTTACACGCAGGTAGCTAACTTGTTGTAGTTCGAATTTTCAATTCCAATCAGTTTTCATTTGTACGGAAATGTGGAGATTGTTGAATGTTATTTAGATCGAAAACGGATATAAGTTAGAAAACAGTCAGTTGAAGATAAATTTTAATGATAGATATTCCTTAACTAATTTCATATTTCGGAAGGTAAATAGTAGTACCATAGTACTTATAAACATTTTTCTCTTCAAAGGATTGGATGGTTTTATTAGAATGAATATATTTTGAAAAAATTATAAATTTGACATTATATAGCTTAAAACCTTTACAGTACAAAGCAAATCTGGTTAAATGTCTCAAACTTTGACGTTAAGACGATGATCTATTAATAGTAAATATCAACATCACGATGAGTGCAGACAAGTACGGAATAGGCCAAAATATAAATCTTGGATTCTATTTCTATCTACTGAAGCGGTTAGGATATGTGTTACGGATTCTCAACAATCACGTACTTTTATGGGAAGTGCCTTTTGAAGCCAGAATAGATTGGAAAGAAGCTAGGGGAGTTGAAGTATGGAGAGAAAAAATGTAACGATGACAAACAGAGGAAACTACTTTTGGGATACCTTTTTTATTTAGCTGAATCCAAAGTTTGTAAAGTACTAATATTTAGTTTGTCCTCCCTGTTTTATTTGTTGAATCATAAGTTTTCATTTAATTTATTAGTTACTGTCAAATTACTTTTTACTCTACAATTACTAAAATTAAAACGTGACGTTTGTATTTTATTTTCCTACTCTAATGCCCGACTCATTTTGCTTGTATAATGCGGCAACTTAAACGGAGTCACATATGAAACAGGTTCTACTCTGCCTATAATTGATTGATCAACTGGATTTCAATACTAAACTTTACTCGAAATATTATATTTTCGTTATAAGCCAAAATGGAGGCTAGCAATGGAATCCAAGACACGCGTTTCATCCTATTTGGGACTCGTCAGCTGGATGTACCTGCACATCACAGTTGATTTTCACTCTGGGACTCGAACCCGTTACAGTTCGCTTCAAACGCCAACACATTAACCACTTTGCTTATAATGCTTGTAAATTAAGGCAATATCGAGGCAATACGCACAGTATGCACATATGGCAATAAGAGACTGATCAGTTGCAGTCCTAAATATCAATGGTAAGATCCAAGTAAAACAATACCAAATGGATGGTGGAGAACGTTTGTAACACAGGTGGATGATTTTGATGGAGTTTTGTTCTCTGAGCTGGATGGTTTAATCGTGGAGCTTTCATCGTTCTCCTGATTGTTTGACCAATCAAGAAAATTATGCACAAACATAGGAACAAAAATCAAACCAATGGGTGATACAACCAAAACAAAGAAGTAAACAATGACAGGTTTAAATTCAACAAGAACCAATCAACATCGAGGTCTACAGGACAAGCTATGAACCACATGTGAAGAAACTCAAACACTTCGCTTCTACTTGATGTTTGTGCTGATGATGTCGTTCAGAAGAATGATGAATGTTCCACGACCGGACCATACTGCTTAGAGAACAAAACTTCATTAATACCAAGTGGATCTTTTCTTTATGTTTATCGATTATCTAAACTCAGATTTATGAATACTTACCACTTATATTTTTTCCGTTTAAGTATAGTAATTTTATCAAGAATTATACATTTTCATTTCTTTTTAATTTAGGCTGATGTGAATATAAGTTATGTAATAAGAAATTATCAAAATCCTTATAATTTGGATAGCAGATTAAGAAAATGTGAAGCATTAAATGTTTTTGGTGATCACTGTGATCCATTTTTTCATTTTGCTGCTTATACAACAACTGAAAAGTGAGTTGAATGATTCCTTATTAAGTAAGAAATTGCTAAATAAACACCCTTATCTCTTCGAAGATATTTCAAGTTAACAGAATATAAACTTCATTTGAATTCATAATCATCTGTATATGAAGTGGTATAATACAATTCATGTTCGACTGTAATTAACCAACGATGTGAATTAGGAAAGATATATATGTAGATTAAGAAAGATATAAACACAAAGATTTCTCTGTTTTATATCAAGTTACAAACAATCTGGTTAGCGTTACAGATGTGAAAGCGCGGATCAGTAAAGCAAGAACAGCATATTTACAACTGAAGAACATCTGGAACTCAAAGCAACTGTTTGTCAACCAACACCAAGGTCAGGATTTTCAATACAAATGTCAAGACAGTTCTACTGTATGGAGCGGAAACCTGGAGAACTACGAAAGCCATCATCCAGAAAATACAGGTGTTTATTAACAGTTGTCTACGCAAAATACTTCGGATCCGTTGGCCGGACACTATTAGCAACAACCTACTATGGGAAAGAACAAACCAGATCCCAGCGGAGGAAGGAATCAGGAAGAAGCGTTGGAAGTGGATAGGACACACATTGAGGAAGCCACCCAACTGCGTCACAAGTCAAGCCCTCACATGGAATCCTCAAGGCCAAAGGAGGAGAGGAAGACTAAAGAACACATTACGCCGGGAAATGGAGACAGACGTGAGAAAAATGAACAAGAATTGGATGGAACTAGAAGGGAAGGCCCAGGACAGAGTGGGTTGGAGAATGCTGGTCGGCGGCCTATGCTCCATTAGGAGTAACAGGCGTAAGTAAGTAAGTAAGTAAGTAACAAACAATTTACCTAAAGGAACTAGATTACGCCTACTCTATATAGCTGAAGCTATATATATCAACGTCAGTAATAACCTGATTTATGTATCCAGAAGAGGTATATTCAGTCTCTATGTTCATCTTGGTCCACGACCGGATCACCAGATACGTAAACTGAACATTATAAACCCTTATCCTTCTTCCAATTCATTTTGTGTTTGTAACTTTCTTTATCTACACATTCATCTCCGTCAAACTACATGACTTCTTTTTTTATCATAATTATCATGACAACACCTAACTTGTTGCATAGTATATTCACACGTTATTATTGCCATTATTACTATCATTATTATCACTGTAGTTATCATCACTATCATTTTCATTATTACCTCGATTAACAAGATGAAATTCTCCTACTATGCATTTTATTCATATGATTTTTCATTATATTACTATTATACTGATTATAACTTGACCGTTTACCACGGATTATTCTGTCGTTTATTAAACGACCTTTCTGATTTACAAATAACAATTAAAGTATTTATGTCGTAATAGATCTAAAAGTACACCATTTTTAACACATAACATTGTCAAATTCATTAATATCAGAATGGGGGTTTGTGGAGATTGCAGTAATTTTAGTGGTTAGATTTATGAATCGATTAAACCTAGATCACCATTGGAAATCTGGAAGCACTGGATGGCCGTTTCGTCCTAATATGGGACTTCTCAGCAGTGCGCATCCACGACCCCGCATGCGAGACCTTTGATCCTGCATGCGAACGCTTAACTTCTAGACCAGTGAGTAGACATCCAAGGGCGTTAATGTCTAACTTCAATCGATCCATGATCTTGAGGAAACTATCCATCGATTGTCATTATATGTGATCCAATGGTTCACATCTTCAACTTTCAACAATAACATGCGTTACACAGTAACTGGATATTAAGTTTTAAACTTAGATAAATAACCTTAATTATTAATCAATAGAGATCGATTGGTATGCAAAATTTTCATAGTACCCACATAATCGATAATTAATACGTTAAATCACTTTTTGGGTAATACAATGTAAAACTCAATGATTCCGTTGTGTGTTGTTATACATTTAAATATGTTTGTCAGTAAATTATTCATATGACTAACTTTAGAGCAGTTAAAAGTGTCGGTTTTTTTCTCACTTGTTTCTATTCTTAGTTTCATGTGTGACTTTAAGTTAAATGTCTGTTAGTTTACTTGCACAGTAATACCTTGAAGTGACTGTGAGATGAAGAAAGGAATATTTGATTTGATCTATAGTGCTCTAACATTACATTTAAACTTAATCGTTGTAGATAATAGGTGTTGTTTTTCTCTTATCTTCTCATGATTGCATATTAACATAAACTTATTATTTGGTAATAAGAGATTACAAAAGTTCACATTAAATTATTACTACTTACAGTGGAGTTCAACTAGCTCTGTTGTGAGATAATAACTCACTGAAAACAGTGGTGGATGTGTCGCTCAATTTCGTGGATCAATTGAAGTTAGACATGTTAGCTCAGTGGTTTATAGGATAAGCGTTCACTCACGAGACCGAAATACCTGGGTTCGAATCTCGCGAGGCGAGATCGTGGTTGCTCACTGATGGGGAGTCCCGTACTGGGACGAAACGGACATCCAGTGCTTCCAGGTTTCCCATAATGGTCTAGCTTCATTTGACTCACGATCTCAACTATTAATATAACTGCTTAACCAATAAAAATTATAAGCACTACTTAATACATATCATTCAACAAAATAAAAAGCACAGTATTAAGTGTATGATATTAAACTATCTTACAGAAATGATTTCAACTTTATTTCAATGGTTTGCATACACATGTCAACTATTTTTCTCATATATATTCATTTGATCTACTAGATGGGAAAAACGTTCAACGTTGCGTAAAGAAGCTGGACCATTTGTAAACTCAAAATATATCGATCACATTCTCGACACGTATGAAATACAGCCAATATTTCCGGTAAGCATTAAAATCAGAATATTTTTAAAGAAGCAAATTGCTTAGGAATATTGAGTTAGTTCTGTAGATGTCATTTTATGTATTGTAAAGTTAATGTTTATCATGAGCTGAAAACTAGAGAATAGTGAATTGATTTTTCGTTTTATTTCAAGGATCTATAACATTATACACTTATTACAACACGTGGGTTTGAACCTACGACCTTCATAGTGGACTGGTATCTATTTCTAAGAGTAATCGACAATAGTTATCAATAAATACATAAATCTTAGATAAATTAGTAGCGAAAACTAGAAATAGTGAATGTATGGATGATTCAATAATTTTAAACTGATTTTTTCGTATTCTCTGAGATGATGAGGTTAATTATGAATATGCCCTTAATTTCAGTGACCTGAAGATCAGTATTACTTATTTTTAATCCGTAGTAGTAATTGGATTGTATTGGTCACGATGCACTAAGGCCACTTGTTCGATTGACTAGACATCAGTCTGGGATTCATTTGACGGCTCGTTGTTGAAGGTAATTGATAGGAAGTCCTGAACTTGTAATCCATGTTAGTTAGAACTTTCCAACAAGGTGTATTTGTAATCTTGAAGAAACAAATTATAGAAGTGTGACTGGATCCTGTGATAAGTGGAGTCACTTTCAAAAAATTTGTTCACACCGCAAGTAATTAGTTTTAATTATCAAGAACTTCAGATTATGTGTCCCAAACCAATTACTTCAACTATGTAACAGCAAAGTTTATTTCTATGCTAAGTCGCTTAGACTCGTAGTGGCACCATAAATCCATATATAAAACTGGATGATTACTAAATAGCAAATACAGTGACATTGATTCAGTCAAATTTATATCTATAAATGTCGAGAAAAACAAACAAAGTTTCAGGATTGAACCATTTTAGTTTCTAGTAACTGATCAGCCTGAAAGGGGGTTACTGCTATGTAAAATAGATTGGTGACACCATGTTGGTTATAACTGGATGACAAAGCTCTAAACTCCATGTGGTGCATTATTTTACTAAATATTTCAGATACATCTTATTGATGATTACCAATTATACAAGAACCTGTATTCAAGGTATTCTACTAATTACCCTCAATCTCCTTAAAACTAAAATCTGACTGGAAAAATTTGGAAATCGTGAATTTTTACAGTTTCAGAACACAAGTCATTCACCAATGAGTAAAAATATGGAATTATTTTGATATGAACTGAGATGAATGACAGTCAGTTAACAATTCAGAATGTAAAAATGTAATCAAAAGAAATCTACAATCAATTACAGCGACGTTACTATGAAACATCATTTACAGCTTACATCTACTAGACGAACTGATAGCCACCGTATGAGTATAGGATAAGGATAATCTTAAAACAAGTGCGATAAAATTTCAGCCTGTTCCTAGCCAATCAAACAATAACTTTTGCATACGCACAGTTCTGAAAAGAATTTTTTGATCAATTGTAGGAAGAAAATGACATTCTATGAAACCGTTTACCTCATTGTGAGTCTTAGCTACACTTCCAAGATTAATAATATTTACAGTTAACATCTCAAAACTACCTACTAAATGAAGATCACTATCAAGGCTAGAACAAACGTCTTTGCATATCGAAAACATCTTGATGACTGTTTTCTTCCTGTTATTTTCATATTTAAATCGGAAACAACAAGAGCTGCAGTTCTGGACACTAATACGGAGCAAATTTTATTCTTCTTAAATGCTGTCGAATAACAAAAGAGGGGGTCTTTCTCATAAGTGAGACGTAGAAACCCTGATTTATGACTCACAAACTATCTAGATACAGTGTAAAAGCCTCCTATCAGCCGAACAAATATTTAGGATTCATAGCCGCTAGACGTAGTATGTCTATTACTTACTTACGCCTGTTACTCCTCGTGAAGAAGCATGGGCCGCTCACCAGCCTTCTCCATCCAACCCTGCCCTGGGATAGTCTGTCTACACGACTAGATAAAGAATTTATTATGAAACAGACCTTCTTGTCGCTTAAGTTGTCGGTCTCTAAAGTCGACTCTAAATTTCGCATACAATATTATGTGTAAAAGTCATTTGGATTTCAATGATTGTCTTATACTATGAAATAGAAGAAATATATATATTTACAAGTCTCTAGTTGTTTCAAGAGGTTTGCTCCCATCGAAAATCCTAGACCAACAAATATCTCTCTGAAAATCATATCACCTTCATTACTGGAAATAAACATGGCAGACAACAACACCTACTAAAACTGATAATGCTAAACCAGATCCACTACTTTTGTGGGCCCCGTTAAAACCACGCTCTTTGTTGTTGGGAGAAGAATACATGTGAATTATAAGGGGAAGGGGTATTAAAAATAAATTTCACAACCTTAAAAAATTATTCCCGTTCAGAACATTATATTCTATATAACCTACAAAGAAACAATTACTCACTCGTTAAGCTCACCACTGTAATTTTCACATTATTGTAGCAGAAAGCAATTGATCATAGCCATTTTAAACATTCTGTTCGCTGTGGAAAGATTATATCCAATGCTTGTTATAAGGGAAAATTAAATTTTGCATAAAAACGTAATAGTTGCGTCCATGATTTTGATTTACTAGTTCTCCATTCAATATACTTTTACCATTAACCACTTATGAATAAACCCTAACAGTATTTTAAGCAACGATGGATAGTGGATAATAGTGGAATCCAGGAAGCACTTCATACAGTTTGGGACCCGTTATTTGTATGTACCTCCATCCCAGAAATGATTTTCATGCCGGGACTCGAGAACTCTGCTTAAAATGATTGTGAATTACTGTCAATATCAAGGTAATTTGCATAGGATATAGATATCCTAAAAGTGAATGATCAACCGCAGTCCTAAATGTCAGTGGGAATATACAAACAATCAATATACTTATGATTCTGTATATCAGTCAGTCAGTCAGTCATGTACAGTGTAGCATCAGGCACATATATGCATCGGTTCAAATTGCCCTACCTTATTAGAAAAACAAAATGAACACCAAATCAATAGAAACGATTACTTTATTAGTATAAGAAATGATTGTATATAAGGAAACTACAAAGCAAGAAAGAATTAGTTGGATAGAAAGTAAGACATAAAGTAATTTTAATCTCATAGTTTAAAGGAAGACAAAGAGTGTATACATCGACGCCATTGTGATTGACCCAGAGTTTCTAATCATTAGTTACAATAGTTGTGCGAACCTCAACAAAGTAGTCTGTATCTACCAACATGACTCAGATCAGAAGTTAATGATTTCAACAATTGATGCCATGTTTTTGGTTTGAATCAGTATATATGAATTAGTACTTTTAAAAGTTTATTCTGATAATATTTCGCATTAAAAATTAATTCAAGCTTTACAGCCTATTCACTTGCTATTGTTTGGCTTGTATCTTCCCATTGATGTTTAAGACTGCAATTGATCAGTCTGTTATTGGCATATGTGCATACTGTGCGTATGCCTCGATATTACCTTAATTCACAAGCTATTTGTAAGCAATGATGAGTCGCAAATAGGACGAAACGCGCGTCCTGGATTCCACTGCTAGTCACTATTCATCATTGCTTTAAAGCCTATTTCTTATTATATCACATTGTTCAATTGTTCAATTGGTAGTGTGATATGGCTTATTATTAATATTTTTTTCCTACAAGGATATACACTTCATTAGATCAAATATCAACCATCAGTTTTAAGGGGATAGTTACATGTGATATTGTCTGTTACTATTAGATGATTTCTTCTTTTTTTTTCATTTTTAACCACACAAAATATAACAGCTATTTATTTGATTTACAAATCACGTTAGAAGTCGTTACTTGTTTCTAAGTGCATTATTAAATAAATAATAATCTTTCATTTGTTCTGTTTCTGATGGCTTTAATCATATGATTGTTCATTCGTTATTTCAAGAGGATAGAAACTTTAATCACAAAAATAGTTTTTACTATCTTGTTATTGACAGATAATTGATTAGTATCAGAAGAGGTTTTGTGGAGATTGTAATAATTTCAATAATTGAGATCATGAGTCAGTTAAAGCTAGACCAACATGAGAAACCTGGAAGCACTGGATAGCCATTTCGTTCTAGTACCGAACTCCTCAACAGTGCGCATCTGCGATCCCGCTCTCCGAATTCGAACCCAGGATCTATCGGTCTCATGCGAGAACGCTTAACCTCTAGATCACTGAGCTGTCATCCAACGGTGTTAATTTCTAACTTCAACCAATCCACGAAATTGCGCCATCGTGCACCATTTTCTTCAGTGAGTTATTATCTCACAACAGACCTAATTGAACCCCACTGGTCACTGCTTCTCACTGGAATTCCAGTAAATACCTCTTGAAGCCAGTTAATAAATACTTTACAATTTAAGCTGATTGACCCAGGAAGTGTCCTCGTTATTTCTTACTCCCGAAAACATTTTAATGATATGATTGATACTATCTACAGACTGTAGTAATACTAATATGTACAAACGTTTTTCACCAAGAAATAGTAATTTTTGGAAAGAATACAAGCTTGATTAATGTGTGATCAGTGTTTTTTTAAGTAAAATACCTATTTACGACACCATAATTGTACGACAGTTGATTGACAGACTACAGAAATATCTTAGTGTGGAACTTATCTTCGATCAACGAAGTCATATAAACCAGTATATAATACTGAACTAAGTTTATTAAAAAAAAATTTTCCAAAAACATGATCATAGTTGAAATCTTTTCAAAGTTCCTCCCTTTCAAAAAAAAGAACACTTCATTAAAGTTCGTTTCATGAAATATAGTACTTAAATCTGTCTTTTCACTTTCAACTGTGTATTAGGATGCCATAGAAATTGAACTTGATATTCATGATAGTGATATAGATGAAGATCAACGGATAGCTCTATTTAGAAGAACAGTTCCACTTGAAACTAAAGGAAAACATGAATTTCGGATGGGTGTCGATGTCAAGTAAGTATGGGGCTTTATTTAGTTTTTAGTTTTATGTCGATTCAATTTAAAGTAAATATTTAAGTTTTCATTTATTCTTTGGAAAACAAGTCTATATCTACAAGAGATTCACATACTAGTTATAATTGTCCACAAACCGAAAGACCATTATTACTCGATTAGGCACTTGTTTTAGACGTATCTACCATGTTTAATATGCTTTATGATGTATTGTGAAATATTTTCAACGATGCAGACACAAATCCTCTGTGCTCTGGCACGTACATGTACACTGTTTTATGGTCGTCTTTTGACAGTACCGGACGTGATAAAGTTTTACTAGATATGAGAAGAAAAGGCTAGTGACAACTTTATTTTCCTTGGGTAGTGTGTGGTGGTCGATATTCAATATAATCCTAAAACTTCATATACAGTTCGTCCTGATAACCGTCACTAGATAATGCTCCAACGGTGTATTAATCGGAAGGCAAAATTGAAGTGTTGATTGCGTTTATTACTGTACCACGCACAGATAAGCAAAATTACAGGTACGTTAAGCAAGCATGAAAAAGTGCCGAAAAGCTAGCAGGCAAGAGAGTGAGCGTGAGTCAAACGAGCGAGTCAGTGAGTCAGCGAGTGAATGAACAGGATTAAAATGTACACATATATACATAGGGAAATGAATGAATCATTGAATCAATTAAACAACTTATAGTAAGGCTAGCAGAATGAATGAAATATGCGTAGTCAGTAAGCAATCCTCAAGCATACATATTCATACAAGTGTAACAATAATAAAGGTATTGTGCTGATGACTGCCGGTTAAATATGTTAAAAAAGGGCTTAACCACATTAAATGTGAGAAAACTCAGTTGCATGTGAGCTGCTACGAATGGCATCACAGTTTCATTCACTTGTATATTAATAACACTTACTGATTAGACAGTTACGTTGATTCATGAAGAGAGGAATCTTGGTTATAAAAATACACATTGACTTTACAGAATTCCGTCTAATGTGAACATGATAGAAGCAATCTTTATTTTAAACACCTGATACATGGATAATATCATAATATTATACTTTATACATAGCTAAATAGGAGCTTATCATCAACACAGTAAGTAATAGATTATTACCTGATGGAATATCTTGAACGGAAATACATGTGAAAGCTGTTATAACTTGTGAACCTGTGTGCCTTGTTTATTGTATAACGCAACGACACCGCCATTCAGAGAGGAGTGGTTTATCCATCGAACCAGTGACGCCTAAAACACGTGCGAGCAACCTAGAATCCTAATTAGCCCTGCTGTCCGCCTAGCCCAGCCAGCTAAGTCCAGAACACCAATCTCAACCTCTGCAATATGAATCATTTTAATTCAAACATACTGAGTCAATATACCAATCAAACAGACGGCAACGTAGCAATAAAATATGAAACAACATTTATACAAGAATTAGCCAAATGTGGCTGTGAATGATGGAGATAGTAATTAATAGACAGGCCATAACTCAAGAATGGTAAATCGTATAATAATAGTCTATGGGTCAAATTAAAGCTTATAATAAGAGCAACATGAATATGAACAGTTTAGTTACATAACAACTATACGATAAAAATATACTCATAATATTGTTCCATAAATGGAACCCAAAAATCACCATTCATTATTCTTATCGTGATATGACAAAAGCATTCATAGAAATGAATAATATTATCAATTATATATACAGATTCCTAAAACAAACTAGTCCAATTTCGTTTATTATTTTTGGCATTTAGGAAAATGTAACGTAACATCTCTTAGTGAAGTCCTAATTTAATATAATAAATTCATTAGACTATTAATGTTGTTTCATCTTAGAATATTGAAAGTTCATCTATCTATTTTCTAATACTTCCATTTCAATTATTGATATTATGAATCAATTGAAACTAGACCACCATGGAAAACCTGGAAGCACTGGACGGTTGTTTTGTCCTACTGTAGGACTCCTCAGTTCAAAGCAACTAGATATCATTTTTGTAAGCAATGATGGATAGTGGCTAGCAGTGGAATCCAGGACGCGCGTTTCGTCCCATTCGGGATTCGTCAACCGGACGTACCTGCATCTCAGAGCTAATGTTCACTCTGGGACTCGAAACCAGTACCATTCGCTTCAAACGCCATCGCGTTATCCACTCAGCTACTGAGTCCTGATAGCCACTTGCTTGTGCAATGTGGTGAATTTAAATTCACTTGGTATTGGTACTGCTAGCCACTATCCATCATTGCTTACAAAAGCTTGTGAATTAAGGCAATATGGAGGCATACGCGCAGTATGCACATATACTAATAACAGACTGATCAATTGCAGTCTTAAACCTCAATGGGCAGATACAAGCCAAACAACACCATGTGAATTAAATATCATGTTTATAAAAACTTCTTTATATAAACTAAACCCTTGGTAAAGTCTCACCAAATCACATTCATACTCATTCGCTTGCCTTCTAGCTTTTCGGCACTTTTTCATGCTTGCTTAACGTACCTGTAATTTTGGTTATCTGTGTGTGGTCCACTAAAAATTCATTAAATCAATCAATCAATCAAACAAAATGTACCTCACATTATTATTGACACTGTTTAGATTGAAATTAACTAGTTCAATATTCAACAAAAAAAAACGTTTTGTTTATAACGTAATGTATTATATAATCAAACGAACCATAAGTATTACATATATACCTAATAAGCTTGACAATTGATATTCATCTGTTATGATGATATTTTCTATATGAAATCATATGGAATAAATTATTAAGTTATCCCAATTTGATTGATCATAATGTAGATTAAGAAACATTATGAACTGATTGAAGTTAATAATGTAAATTATTGAATGCACTTATCTCAAGATCTGAAGTTTGTGAATTCGATCTCCTATCAGATGTTGGATGCACAGCCTTCTAAGGGGTCTCATACTTGGATGAAACAGTTATTTAGTCCTTTTTATTTATCTAAATAAAATCATTCAGTGATGTAAGCTATGAAATTCAACAATCTCTCTACATACTTCCAACAGTAATTAGAGACTAGGTTTAATAAGGTATTTAATGTTATAACTTGTGGCCTGTGCGCCCTGTTAATGTATAATGTAACTATACCGGCAATTAGAGCGCAGAGAATAATCGATCGGACCGGTGAGGCATAAAACCCGTGAGAGCAGTCTAGAGTACATATCGGTCCTGCTTCCTGCATAGCCCAGCCAGTTAAGTCCAGAACACCGATCTCAACCTCTGCAATATGAATCATTTATTTCAAGCATACTGGGTTTATATATCAACCAGACAGACTACACTATACCATAAAATAGGAAACAACATTTGTGCAAGATTTGGCCAAATGTGGCTGTGAATGTGGGAGGTAGTGATTAATAGACAGGGCATAATTCAAGAATGGTAGGTCGTATAATAATAGTTCATAGGTCAAAATAAAGCTTATAATAAGAGGGGCATGAATATGTATAGCATAGATATTTAACAATTATGCGATAAAAATATAGGTATAGTATTTGTCCATAAATGGATCTCAAAAGTTACAATTCATTATCCTTATCGGGACATAACAGTTAAGAAAACAATGATGATAGTAGACAATATAGTAATAGTAGGAACCAAATAGTGTAAAATTCAATGAAGTGGTTTATAGGAACTGGAATGATAATATGAATATTGCATTCATGAAAGACTAACAATACTTAGAAAGTGATTATCTTATCCTTGTCAAAGATCTAAACCTGTGAGTGTTATCTAATTGATACTCGATTTTACACAAAATCTATGATTTAAACATTTGATTGAAGTCCAAAGTCTTTTTTAATCAAATCACGAAGTATGACAGACAGAACCCGTCAGTAGCGGATAGATGTTTCCTGTAATATGAAGACCTACTGGACTCATTAGCAACGATCTCTAACCACAGAACATTCGGTTATAATGCGCAGAATATCAAGCCACTTAGATTGTTCTCAGTCTACATTGTGATTCGCTCGATGGAATTCGATCAACACATCGAAGTAGACAAACACAATATTGGTTACTAGTAGATGGTCAGTTAGTACAATGTTTGAGTATCATATTTTTTAAATAGAGCAAAGGAACCAATTGCATGAAATATCATATTTTTAATGTTCAAGGTCTCATCAAGATGAATATTTTTAACCTATCTCTAAGAAACTGAAATATATATGACACAATGCGTGGTATGAATTAGTTTCCGGTAGTTGACAGCATAATCTACATTCAGCCATCTCATAACTTGTTTCTAGATGTAACCCTTGAAATCAAGATTACAGAATATTCACTTATCCTATAAAATTACCCATTTGGATTGCTATGTAATTAGTCTTCAGCTGGTCAGAATCTCAGTTCGATAAATTAAAGGCAAGCAATTATAAAAATTACCTGGCTTTTCCCATAAATTCTTAAAACCATCAATCCAAAATACAAGTCTCTTTCCTTACATTCAAATTGATTTGAAGCAGAGAGTTTTTTCCCTAAGTTTATTCTCTGAAGAAGTACCATACATTGAACGAAGTGAAGCGTCAAAGAATTTAAAAATCTAATTTTTCTACTCATTGGGATCTTACAAAGATATCGTTTTGTTCAAGAGAGTTATTTTCTATCTGATGTACATTTGATGTTATATAGAGGAATTATTGGGGCTGCAGGGAAGCTTCTCTTTAAAGCTACTTTAATCCTTCATCTGTTCTCATCCATTTTGCATTCAAATGTGAAGAGATTTTAGACAGGATCATAGAAGGATTAAAACAACTCTAAATAGAGGCTTAGCAGTAGCTCAAATATTTTTGATATACGACACCAGATGTTTCTTAAATCAGTCCAAGTGGACCAATATCTTTCTAAAGTTATCTCCAAATGTACTTACAAATTCACATGTACATGTGGAAGCACCTTTATAGAAAAGACTGAAAGAAGGGCATCTACAAAGTTTTTTATTGTTCCCTTATTTCAAAAAATATTTTGTTGAATTATCGTTTTAGAGTTGAAGCCCATATTGAGATAACTTGTACCAAAGATTATTATGGACAGCGTTGTGAGGTATATTGTACACCTCTATATGGTTTATGGGAATGTGACGAGAATACCGGTGCTAGAATATGCAGTAAACCGTGTTTACATGGCAAATGTGTTCTCACAAGGTAAATCATGTCATTTTTTTGCTCTAAATAATTCATTTAATTAAATGAAAACTAAAATAATATACACTTTTCAACATAATCGATGACATCATTCCCATCATTATCCGTTGATTAGTTTATATGCTTAACATGTCTTTATAGAGAGAATATATTATTCAGTATGTTTCTACCCAAGCTATTTATCTGCCAATAAATCAAGTGCATTTATGTCATATTTGAAAATATTGAATCAAGAAAGAGAATTATTTTAGACTTGAAATCACCAAACAGCTATCGGTTTTATTCAACTGGCGCCAAATATTCGACATGAAAACTGACACCAATCTCATCTTATAAATGAATATTGCAAACAATCGATAATATCGGTTATTAATATGGAGAGAAATTGTGTTTTTATTCTTGTCAGATTTTAGTTCCCTTAATCATTTTGAAGAGAGCAAGAGTAAAAATACAAGTAGAATAATATGACTTCATTTTATTTCATATGGATCTTGTTAGCTTCTTACAACCTGTAATATTGAGTAATCATAATTATAAAATGGGTTCAAATTATTTACATGAAACAGTTAAATTGAAATTTATTAAGAATTCATAAGTGTAGTATAGAAATGGCTGTTATGATAAAATTACTTGTTGTTGATGTTCAGATTTAATCAATTATCAGGTTGCTTTCAATACTGTCATCTTTTGTGCTGAACTCTTCGATTTCATTTCTCAATCTTATACAATTAAACTATGTTTAAGAAGTCAACTATTAACGAGGGTTTAATGGATTAGCTTCAAAATAATAACTTAGACATTGCATATCACTTGCATTGTTAATCGTTATTAAATAAATCTCAATGATGTATGAAATCAGAAAGAAAGATGAAGCACCGACTACCTCTTCTTCTTTTTCTTCTTCCGCCTGTTACTCCCAATGGAGCATATACCGCAGACCAGAATTCTCCAACCCACTCTGTCCTGGGCCTTCTTTTCTAGTTCTATCCAATGTTTGTTCATTCTTCTCATATCTGTCTCCATTTCTCGGTGTAATGTGTTCTTTGGTCTTCCTCTCCTCATTTGGCCTTGGGGGTTACATGTGAGGGCTTGACTTGTGTCTCAGTTGGGTACTTTCCTTAATGTGTGTCCTATCCACCTCCATCGCTTCCTCCTGATTTCTTCCTCCTCTAAAATCTGGTTTGTTATCTACCACAGTAGGCTGTTGCTAATAGTGTCCGGCCAATGGATCTGAAGTACTTTGCGTAGACAATTGTTAATAAACACCTGTATTTTCTGGATGATGGCTTTCGTAGTTCTCCAGGTTTCTGCAACATACAGTAGGAGTGTCTTGACATTTGTATTGAAAATCCTGACCTTGGTGTTGATTGACAGTTGCTTTGAGTTCCAGATGTTCTTCAGTTGTAAATATGCTGCTCTTGCTTTGCCGATCCGCGCCTTCACATCTGCATCAGATCCACCCTGTTCATCAATGATGCTGCCCAAATACGTAAAGGTATTTACATCTTCCAAATCTTCTCCGTCAATTGTGATTGGATTGGTGCATTCTGTGTTGTATCGGAGAATCCTGCTTTTCCCTTTGTGTATATTGAGACCTACTGCTGTTGAGGCTGCTGCCACACTGTTCGTCTTCTCCTGCATCTGTTGTTGCGTTTGGGATAGAAGGGCCAGATCGTCTGCGAAGTCTAGATCATCCAACTGCATCTTAGATGTCCATTGTATCCCGCGCTTCCCTTCAGACGTTGACGTCTTCATGATCCAGTCGATCACCAGGAGAAAGAGGAAGGGTGAGAGTAAGCAACCTTGCCTAACACCGGTCTTCACTTCGGACGACTTTGTCAACTGTCCTCCATGCACAATTTTGCAGATCAGTAAGCCACAAGTAGACCAAACGAACTCGTACAGAAAAGCTAACGCGAGAGAGCGAATACAGAGGTAAATTAAGAGTCAAATCAATTATTACGATTCAAACATATATATAGTCTAATCACTTAATAACTGTAAAACAAAAATATATATAATAATAATAATTCATAAGTAACTCCGTGAAGTCACCATCCAGGTGGAGTTTTGTTCTTTGAGCTGGATGGTTTGGTCGTGGAACCTTCATCGTTCTTTTAAACAAAATCATCAGCAAAACCTTCAGGAAGAAGTGAAGTGTTTGAATTTCTCTACATATTACTCAAATATTGTCCAGTGTACCTCCATCTTGATTGTCTATTGTCGACCACTAACTTGTCATTATTTACTTCTTTATTTTTATTATATCTCCTGTTGATTTGAATCAACAACGACTTCGGTGGCATAAAATTCATAGTGGAAAATGATTCAAACAAAAAACTGTAATTTTTGGATGTAATAATCACCAGAACCAACACAGGAAAACTGGAAATTCAAGTATATCGGAAGTCGACCCACACAGATCGAGTTCTCAACTACGGTAGCAACAACCCAGGAACTAACAAAATCAACTGCGTACAAGCTTTATTCACGGGGCAAGAACACACAGCAACACGCAACGCGGAAAACTGATGAAAAATATCTAAAGACCATCCTTCAAAGAAGGGATACCCAATGGACTCATCAAAAATATACCAATCCAATGCGTCAGTAGAAACAACACGAAGTACAGAAACTAACAAACGGATCATCCTACCTGTTTTATCCTTGTTTTTTTCCAACCCGATGTCGCCAACTGTTATGTTCTTAGCTTATAAGGTTACCGCTAATACGATTGCCAAATTTAGATATATAGACTTATATGGCCAACGAATGATGCATACGTTTGAACGAACAGCTTGGAGTCACGATTGCTCCTTTTCCCACTAGCCCATTAAGTCCAAAAGATAAATCTAAGCGTCCGTGATATTAATCATGTATTTCAAACATACTGGGTTTATATACAGACCAAACAGACCACATCGCACCACAAAATTAAAAACAACATTTGTGAATGTGGGAGACTGTGATTAATAGACTGAACATCTTATAATAATAATCTATAGGTTAAAATAAAGCTAATAATAAGAGGAATATGAATATATGTAATCTAATTACGTAATAGTTATACAGTAAGAATATACGTATAATATTAGCCCATAACTAGTTCCCAACAGTTACCTTTCATTATTCTCATCGGGATATAACACTACCATATATAAGAAAGGCTGGAAATTACAACTAGATTATTGAAGCTTTTTGGAATAGGTGTAGAACAAAAACAAACAAAAAATCACTCCAATCAATCCAATACAAACTAAAGAAGGAAATGACAAAAGAAGAAAAACCGAACATCATTTACAAAATAAATTGTTCCAACTGCAAAAAACACTACATTGAACAAAATAGACGATCGCTTCACCTTCGATTGTACGTACATTAATTAAAAATCAAACGCCTGGAAGTCATTATTCATTTAGTCTTCTACGGATATAACATAAGTCACTTTAAACATAACTAATTGTAAAATAGACAAGTTATTTGTCATTTACAAAAATTAAAACCCTTCCATTCGACTTAGTTCTTAACCTTCAAAACAGTTGTACGTAAAAAAAAAGTTGGACACTCGTAAACAGAGATAATAATATTCACTTGGTATTGTTTTACTTGAATCTTCCTATTGATGTTTAAGACTGCAATTGATCAGTCTCTTATTGGCATATATACATTCTGTGCGTATTGCCTAGATACTGCCTTAATTCACAAGTATTATAAACAAAGCTGGATAGTATTTAACAGTGGAATCCAGGACGCGCATTTCGTCCTATTTGGGACTCGTCATCTGGATGTATCTGCACCTCAGAATTGATGTTCACTCTGAGACTTGAACTACTACTCACTATCCATCTTTGCTTATAAAGATATTAATTACTTACTTATTTACTTACACCTGTTACTCCTCGTGAAGTATTATAGGCCACCCATTAGTACTCTCCATCCATTCGTGTCCTAGGCAATCCCTTCATAATTTTTTAACATTTATCTGAATTCATCTAATTCAATAAATAGTTAGAATCATTATCAAAAAATAATCTTTTCTTTTAATTATTTCTCTTATAATTTTATCAAGTATCAGTGCAATATGTGAATGTACATTAAATTGGCATGGTGAATTTTGTCAAACTCCTATTGAATCTAAACTTATATCAACTATTTTAGCTCCTGATATAAAAACAATTCATATTGCTAAACCATTACAAATTAATCAATCAATTAGAAATCAAACTAGATATATTCATTTAAATAATAAAATTAATAAATTATCCATGATGACAACAACAGCAACACTACTAGCAACAGCAACACCACCACCAGCAGCAACACCACCACCACCAGCAACAGCAACACCACCACCACCAGCAGCAACAACAACAACAACATTTCAATCTAATTCTATAAATAAAATAAAACAAATGGAGATGGGAAAGTATAATGGAACAATTCAAGTTGTTCAATTAAAATTTGATAATGAACACCTTAATATTGATCAATTTAATAATGATACTTTGTTTACTTTAACAACAAGAAATACTCAAATAAATTTAGATCAATCCAAAGTATCGGCGATTGATAACAATTCAGAAACAATGAAACAATCTGATGGTAACATGAATCATCTATCTGGTAAGAAATTTTTTTTTATATTGAATTTAATTATTTGATATTCAGTAAATGGAATACACCCATTAAGAACGATAGGTTCAACGAAGAGTTCTCTTCGGTGAATTCATTTTCAAAGCTGTACAATCGCAAATAAATGCACCTATCTTTTTTTCAGGATGATAACAATTACAATAATTTTTCTTAAGCAATGATGGGTAGTGGCTAGCAAAGGAATCCAGGACGCGTGTTTCGTTCTATTTAGGACTCGTCAACTGGATGTACCTGCATCTCAGAGTTGATATTCACCCTGGGACTCGAACCCACTACCATTCACTTCAAACGCCATCGCGTTACCCACTCAGCTACTGAGTCCTGATAGCCACTTGCTTGTGCAATGTGGTGAATTTGAATTCACTTGGTATTGTTTGGCTTGTATCTTCCCTTTGAGGTTTAAGACTGCAATTGATCAGTCTCTTATTGACAACAATGTTGATAATAAACTTCTGTTAGACATGGTGACAGTGAGGTAGAGTAAACAAAGGTATTAAAAAAACATTTTTTAAACAGGGAAACTAATAATCGTTTGATTGTTAAGGGTTTAAATATTCATCACAAAGATAGATAGAGAAATTATCATTGGGAAAGGATAGCTCAGCATGATAAGATAAAATGTTGAAATTGAGATGAAATGTAATCAGGAGGATCGTAAAAAAAGAAATAAACCAGTTGGGTATAGAAAGTTTAGGGAGAAGACAGAAGGGGAAGCAAATGACTGTAAAGGAAAAAGGGTATAAAAAAAACTATAAGACATTAAGTCCATGGTAGAAGAAGAGGTTGTACCAATCTCTTTTATGGATACACAATTCTAGTTTTCCCAGATGTATGGCTATTGCTTTGTGTTGTAACGGGTGGATTGCAGGTTAGATGCGCAGCATTTTATTGATCGATTCAGTGACACGCAAACACGTACGGACGACCTCGAGTCCCGATTGGCCCTGCTTCGCTGCCTAACCCAGCCAGTTGAGTCCAGAACACAAGTCACAGCCTCTGAGATACGAATCATTATATTTCAAACATACTCTGTTTATATACTAATCAAGCAGACCACATCGTACCATAAAATAGAAAATAACATTGTACAATAATGACCAGTAGGAAAATGACACGTGAAATAAACACTGACCAATGAGGAAATGACACCATCTCAAGTTCAAGGATAGCGTTAGACTTAACAGAATAATTTTTGGGATATTTTCCTGAATATCCCAACACTTTGGCAATGCAAAGAAGATGCAGTAAAATAGCTTTGGAAGACTTCTACTCTCCTTTTAGATGACTTTGAACGTAGGGTCTGTCTTGATTAACTGGCCTGTGTTCACAATGTTTTCGATTATTGAACTTCATATTGAGCAGTTTCCTCCTCTTCTTAGCCACGTCGGATAATGTTCTTGAATTCTTTTGGATAAAGTACGCATCAAACGACCTATATAACTGGCTCTACATGAGCAGGTACCTTTGTTTATTTTACCTTACTGTCACCATATCTAACAGAAGTTTATTATCAGTATTATTGCATTTATTGTCATCCTGTGAAATAAGTTTATATATTTGCGATTGTACAGCTTTGATAATGAATTCGCCGAAAAGAGAACTCTAATTATTTTGAGAAGTTAAACATTAATTTTGGATTAATAGTAGTTTAAATCATAATTTTAAAATGTGATATATTCCGACGACAATAATGAATGGTAACTGTCGGTATCCATTACAGAACATCGTAGTAAAATCTGGGAACCATACAATGAATACTTAATTTGCAAAATGTTAATCAATTGTCTTAAACTTGACTGTTCCTTTTGCAAATATCAGTCAATCGTCTTAGACTTTAATGTTTTTGCATTTCCATAATAATTTTTTTTGTGTTCTCATTCTCTTTTCTTCGGGCTTCTTAACCTTCTGCTGCCATACATTCTATTCCAGACCAGAGTTATATACTACTTATGTAGATATAAGTAGTACACACGACAATACGATTTACAGTTGTTGAGTTATGCTCAGTCTATCAATTACTATCTCCCACATTCATAGCCACTTTTGATTAAATCTTGTACAAATGTAATTTTCTATTTTGCGTACAATGTAGTATGTTGGATTTGTATATGTACCCAGTATGTCTGAAATACATGGTTCATATCACGGAGGCTGAGATTGGTGTTCTGGAATCAACATTCTGGGCTAGTCAGAAAGAAGGCCCGATAAGAATTCTATACTGCTCGTACGGGTTTATGTGTCTTTGGTCCGGTCGATAAATCACTGTTCTCTAATGGGCGGTAGTGTTACGTTATAAATTAATAGGAAACAAGGCAACAAGTTATAACACATTGAAACAATCTATTATTCCACTAATTCTCACACTTGAGAAGATGGATTTAAATAATATAGCCTATGTGATCTATTATTTTTTGTATTGGGTAATTTAGCCTTGAGGTTTATATATATTGTCTTTCTATGTATTGCTTTCGTACAATGACTTCGATGTTTACTTTAAATAGTAATGAACATCAAAGAAATACTTTTTTTTGTTTTGAAAATTTAAATCATTTCATTTGGATTGCCTCGTGATTAGTTGGTTGACGCCAGTGAAATGTTTTTGATTTTATATATACTTTCATTCCAGGTAACCATTATAGTAGACTGACTCTTAAGCATGTCTTAGATTAATGATATTCTCATTGTTCGACGTGGTGAACATGTATAAATCTTTCTATTGATTTCATATTGACCTAAGTACCAAGTCTATAGAAATTCCCTTTATCTCTGATTATGATATTTTACCAATAGAATTATATCTATACTTGTTCAAGTGCGGTGATAAAAATGATGAATTTTTGATCCTTGTTTCCAAGTTCAGCATTTTCTTAATAGAGATTGAAATTGTGGTTAGATAGCGTGATAATTACACTACAACCTATGACTGCTATAGATGGATGTCACACTATGACTAAAACTCCCTTCCAAATGGATAAATATTCTGAGGTGTTAAGTATCTGGTAGTAGTCATCATAAGAACCTTCTCGACCTAGGCTTCTTATCTGTCGGATTTCTCAATCAAGAGTTACCTATAATCCTGGGAAAACCGATGCTCCATGTGAGATTCAAATACACATTATTAAGCATTATCACTAAGCTATTTGATTGGCGACTGGTCTCTTATTGGAATGATAAGATATTTACAATTGATTGACTATCAAGCAGCCATCAAAAAATTTCTATCGGTCCGACACTGAAAGACTAAGCAAATATGAAATTGGTGGCTACTCAGTGATGAAACCCCTTACTTTGTTAACAGAATATGTTAGCTGGTAATATAAGACTTACAATAATATATTATATCTTATTAGACAATAAATATACCATAAATAATAAGTTTCTCTTTTAATATTACTAAGTTTTAATGGAATGCAAATATATAATAGAATTCTACTATGAGCTTGGAATCGACTTGTATTAGTTTATTTTACTTAAAATTCATATAAATTATCGGAAAAGATTTTTGTGGAAATTATAGTGTGGTGCGTGCTACTTATATTGATATAAGTAGTATATGACGCGAGTCAGGAATGTAATATCTGGAAGCAGAAGATGGGGAAGATCAAGAAAGGAAGAGCGAGAATAAAAAGGAATTAGCATGGAAATGTAAGAACAACGAAGTTCAAGACAATTATTGAACATTTTGCGAATTAAGTATTATAGTATGGTTTTTCTATTTTACCAAGTAACTCTGTAACTTTGTTCTGAATATAATTCGATTGTCCCCACTTGTGTTCTGTTCACCACAATAGTAATTTAATAGTTGGATTCATGAGTCAATTAATGCTAGATCATCATGAAAAACCTGGAAACATTGGACGGCCGTTTCGTCCTAGTATGAGTCTGTTGTGAGATAGTAACTCATTGAAGACAATGATGAACTGTAGCTCAATTTCGTGGATTAATTAAACTTATAAATTAACACTGTTGGATGTTGACTCAATGATCTATAGGTTAAGTGTTCGCGTGCAAGGCCGAAATTCCTGCATTCGAGAAGTCCCCTACTAGAATGAAACAATCATCCAGTAATTCCAGGTTTTTCAAAATGATCTAGTTTTTAATTGATTCATGAATTCAAATATTAAACTTCATAAACGTTTATAAAATGAGAAGAATGACAGTTAAAATCATAGAAAATTTTAATGTTTTAACCATAGACTAAACAAATAGTTTTGACAACTAACTTATCAACAACAAAGAAAAAACCATGAAAAACTCGGGGGGGGGGAGATAAAAAAAATTTTCTATTTTAAACGAACTAACGTACAAACATTGATTGTTCACAAATGAACCAATTCGAAAATGTTATTGCTTTATTCAATGATATTTGAATTGATTTTGATAGGATTATCAAAATGTCCAAATGACAGGAAATGATGGGTTCTTGTTCTTGCTTTTTCTTTTCTTCTTCTTTAAATACCTCATAGCAATGAAAATCTTATCTATATGTGTATGTTATTGTGTATATTATTCTTGTTTCTATTAGTCTCTTTAATACATATTTACTATGGAGATAATTGAAAGTACTAACACACTCACTACCTACGGTTACATTCGATATAAAATTAAATATTGGGTATTTTTATTTAAATAGTAAAACATTATCTCGGAAATTAATTTTAGGAGAGGAGGAAAAGGTATTTCTTGATGAGGGGCAATGCATAGAGATAAGGAAATTAGACTGAAAGTGTAGTTTTGACAACAACAAAAAACAGGCACTGTTTATTGATCGTTGAATGATAGTTTAATTTTTGGCTAGCGTTATTAATTGTATCATTTTTCATAACTCTCCATCTTTCCATGTGTAATTTATAAAAGTAGTCAGTAGAATGAAATATATCTATATTTGTTGTCATAACGTATTACAAAATACCTTGTTGATATTCTTTGCTGAATTTTGATCAATTCTCATTGGGATTTGTGCACTATAT